CGGAATGACTGAAGGCAGGGTAGTAAAATGAACCGGGAGGAGCAGTGCCGGGGAAGACTGACCAGCCAGGTGATAGCTTCTGTCTTGGACTCACTGAAGGCTGGGTACCACTGGCATGTCCTGCTTGAAAATGGCAAGTGGGAATCTCATTTAAGCACAGAGGAAAAACTGAGGCTGGGATGGGTTGCCTGCCACCAGAAGCAAAGTTGGCAATTCTGGAATTGATCGCCGTTGCCTAGGCAGAGGTATGGCATCAGAAGCCCAGGCCAGGCTCCGGGGAGATAATGCAACTTAACTTCCTTTGGTGGCAGCTCTTCCTTGATGCCTTTGAAGCTTCCTTACCTGCCTGAATCATGGCACTTGCCATTCTTAGCACTGTATGTTTACTTGTTCATATTCCTGACACACTTTTAATTCTGGGAGAGAGGGATTGTATTAATCTTGTGTACCATTGAATCTTGCACATAAGTTAACTGCCTAGTAATGCGCAGCAAGTATTTATTAATTTTTTTTTTTTTAATGAATGAAGGCTCTGGAACTAAGGGGGTCATTGTGGAGAAAGATCAGGAGAGGGCTCGGTCAAGGTTACCATTCTGGGCCCCTTCCCTGTCAAGTGATATTAAAAGAGACACCTGTTGATACTGTTCGTGTCTTTTTCTTCAGAGCTCTGTAGGTTGACAGTGTGAGTTGAGAACATAGATTGTTGGTTGTGGATTAGGAAAAATAGAAATAGCCGAAAGTCAAGGATATTAGGACAGCATCAGGATCCAAGAAATGCAGGGTAGTTGGAGAGGTAGGTCAGGCCCGGAAAGATGACAGCGAGCTGTCAGTGGCTTAGAGAACAAAACGCATTTTGTAAACAAGGCAGGCAGTGTTGAAGGGGTGGCAGAAACTGGGAAGGAAGGAAAGGGAAATTTCATGCTCTAGGTCTTGGGTATGGCTGTGCTGGTTACATGACTTCTATTGGTCAGATTGTGTCTTCCAAAAAGGTATGTTGACATCCTAACCCCCAGGAGCTTAGAAAGTGCCCTTATTTGTAAATAGGGTCATTGCAGATGTAATTAGTTAAGATGAGGTCATGCTGGAGTCAGTGGGGCAGGGGGCGGGGGCAGCCGTGTGCGGTGACTGGGGTCCTTAGAGGAGAGGAGGGGCATGCACAGAGGGAGAGCGCAATGCAGAGAAGTCAGCTGCAGCCAAGGGACTGCAGCAACAACGCCCCGCTGGACGTAGGAAGGGGCTGAGGAAACCCTGCAGGTTCCAGAGAGGGGGCGGCTCTGCTGACACCTTGAATTCAGGCTTCTAGTGCTTGAGTACTAAGAGAATAATTTTCTGTTGTTTTGAGCCACCTTGTTTATGGTGAGTTTTGGCAGCCTTGGGAAACTGGCAGTAGCTAAAAGGGAAGTGAAAATAATGAAGGCTGTGGAGATCAAGGTGGCATGAGTCCTGGATGCAGCTCTGCTCAAGGTGCAGAGAGCAGTACGGAGAGATGGGGTGAAGAAAACGTTGTCAAGCACTGAAAGCCTCTAGCCGAGGGGAGGGCTCTGCAGCCTGCTTAGGTAGCTGGTCATGTCATCGTGAGCTGGCTGTCTCTCAGTTCCTTGGAAAGCAAAAGGAGGGGTCCCCGCCAGCATCATGGAGGGGCCCCCTACATTCATTCATCTCAGTGGTCTCGGCCTGTTAGCCCCTGGCCCTTAGGTTTAGTTTGTGCTTGTTATGGAGCTTGGATTCTCTTGCAGGTATTATAAAAGGGGTGCCATGCATCTGAGTAGGACTGCGGTCTTCAGGTTGAGGGGTTCCATTTGGGTGTGATGAACGTGAGTATCTTTAATCCTTTATCCTAGAACTTCTGCACCGGAAAATGAACTTGGGATCAGCGCTAATGTTTTAGAAGATCTTTCCCATATTGGATGCAGAATGAAATGTTTGTACACCCCTCACGTAGTGTTTACTTTAATATTTTCACACTCATAGTCCTTCCAGAGACTGAGAGTATATAGCTGTGGGTAGCCACCTGGCCTGGGTGTGTTCCTCTGGGCCTGAGCGCTGTGGGCTCAGGGCAGCGGGCTCTCTGTTCAGCCCCCGGCAGGGGAAGTCAGTGAGCTGGAGGCCGCCCTGCCATTTCCAGCATAGTTACAGGGGTGGCACTTTGCCGCTGGGAAGAAAAAACCGTGCCAATGTGAACTTGGGTACAGGTTCCTTCTTAGATATAAGTATTTAATTTTTTTTCTCTTTTTACTTCCCTCTTCCCTCTTACCAAAAAAAAGCAAACTACCCTTTGAGAAAATCTCTAAATGATATATTTGCTGAGGATGTGTGAAACTAGTGAACTAAGATGTCAGAAGAAAAGAAATCTCAGCGGTTTGTTCCATCCTCGTGTCCCTTTAAAAATAAGTGGGAACAGAGGAAAACTGGGGACTGAGTTCTTGGGATGTGGTCTGGCCCACCGTCTAATGGATAGAAAGCCAAGTCTTTACCAAGTGACCATATTTCAATATAATCCCGCCCCAAAAGAACACTCTGGTTCTTGGCTGGTGCACAGAAGAAAAACATGTCAAAGAGACGCAGAATTACTGCATTTTAGTTTATGTGTGTGACTGTATGTGGGTAACTGTAGCTGAAGGAAAGCTGAATTTGAAAGAAAAAAATGCTGATGGCTGTTTCTGTAATGGGACTCTATTAAAGTGAGACATGCCTCAGGGAAGATACCGGAAGATTGACAAAGAATTGGCATCAGTGAGCCACACTGCATTTCCAGTCCTGTTTCACCATCTTCCAGTGTTATTTGTGGGTTCCTGCGGCTCAGCAGATCCTTCTTCCACACTGCCCTCCAGACACCATAGAGTTTGAGAGACAGTGATCAGGAATAAATTCCTTTCCCATAGTCTGGCTCTGGGACCCCATTCGCCTTTCTGCCTGTGGCCAGAGATGCCTGGCATGGTCTCCTGCAGTTGCCTTTCTGAGTTGTATTGCTGCTTTAATTGGCCACAGTTCTCTGCATCTGTCATGAAAACTCTTAAAACTCATATGAGAGTAATTTTCCCCGCCTTCTTTTATTGCGAGCTATTTTCTCCACGGGGCACATTGCTGGCCATTAGGCCCACACCCGCTGGTGTGCTGCTCGGCTTTCTCTCTTCAGAAAGCAGTCGTTTGGTAAACTTCTGCAGGCTGACCGATTGAGTTACACCCTGAGGAATGTTGAACCCAGTTCTCAGCTGCAGGATGTCTCTCCCCAAAGTTCTTATGCTGCAAGGCCTGCTTTGAGGATTCACATGTGTGTATTGGTTTACAGGGACATTAAAGCTTTCTCCCCACAGTAGATGGTAAGTTACTTAAGGAATATGACTCAGTGCTTTCAGAGGGCCTGGGGCTCGGGGTTGGATATGCCAGTTCCCTTCTGGCTGGTTTCGCCTCTACTTATGACTTTCTTTTATATCTAATAGTCTTGCCTTGAATCTTAAAGAAGAAATTCTTAATGCAACTAGGGAGAGACCCTGTGGTCATTTGCCATGAAAGGTTGAAAGTTCTAATACTGTAAACCATAAAACAAGCAAAAAAGGAAACATTAAATGGTCTCTAAATATTGCATTTGATAGGACATCAGTTGAGAGCAAAGGACCATAAACAGATAAATGACTTGGTGACTTTTAAGTTAAATTAAAGTTTGAGATTATTTTAATAGTGGACACAAGATGAAATAGACAAGGAAACAAGTTAGGCAGGAGGCTCTGTGTGAACACACTGCCCTTGGGCATGAAGGCTGTGGCAGCTGCGACATGCAGGATGAGGCCCCAGGCGAGCGGAGGTCGGTACTGCCTGCTCGGTTGCCGCGTGCCCCCTGTCTCTGTGGGCCGCAGTTGGTCCTTGTGGTTGAAAATCTTCTAGACACATAAGCTTCTCAAAATGCTTAATTTGACAGAAGGCAATATACTTCTACTGGATTTAGTGTGTACCTTTGTGTGTGTAAGTAGACTTGTGGGTTTACTCATGGTCTCAGTCTACACATTTGTATCTTGTCATGTAGGTCTGAGACCTCATCTCAGCTGGATTACCCAGACGCCATTACTTTCCCCTAACGAAGAAGACGGTGAAGTACAATTTTAAGTGGTGGCTTCTGTGGACGCACATTGAAGTGTTTGTATTCACAGTTTTGGAAAAACGCTATATGAATCATCATTTCCTTTTTTATTATGAGTCTCTGATCATGCTTGGTTTTTGTGGCAAATTGCTGGTCAGTGGGCCACATTTAGCTTGTACTGGTTTTGTCTGGATAACACTGAGAATATTGGTAGGTGGACAGGCATTTTCCTGTTGGCCATAGACCTAACCCCTCCTTAATGTCCTACTTTCATTGTTACCTGCCTAATGCCCTGAGGTTGTATATCTATATGGTACTGAGAGCACATTTTCAAATTCTTTCTCAAACAGAAGAAAATAGTAAGGCAGACTCCTATTTGATTTATATTTGTGTTTGTTTCTGCAACTGTCTTCCAACAATGGTTTAAAATGAACAGTGAAAGACAGTTCTTAAGAGGAAACAAAATTGCTAAAGAATAAAATAAAAAGGCTTAGGACCAGGATTATATATTAACCACCCAGTTAGCCCTTAAATTTGTGACACTAATCTTAATGACTGAGTTTAGCAGAGTGGGAAGCCTGCGTTTCATGTTTCCAGGGTGAACAATTCTGGTATTGAATGATGCTGGCTTAACCTTTGTCACTCTCAGTGGAAACATTTTTGCTCCTGGGCTTTATTCCCCAAATGTTGCTAAATTAACATGGGCCTTGGAAATCCCTGAAAATTCATCTCCATTTCACATACTTCTCTTATTTGTTCTATTCAAAGTGTTGATCACAAGACAAGCTGAAGTCTGAGCTCGGATGGCATTGATCTGATTGATTCCTCCCTGTGCTCTGCTCTGTGGTCATGGGCCTTCTTCTGGAAAGACCGTATCGAGTTCGTCTCCACTGTTGTGAATGAAAATAATCAGTTGGTGAAAGCATAGAATTAGAAACCTCTCGGTATATTTATTTCTGTGTCTCAAGAATTCTGATTTAAAGCAGACTTTATTTCAAGCAACGTGAACAGTAGGTCGTTCAGGAGTCTTGGATGAATCAATGTTTTCTTCCCTTCTCTCCAAGAAAATCTATTTAAAGCAAAGGTCAAATCTGTGCTGGATTTAGAACCTATTAAATATAAGTCTGGAGAACACAGCCACTTCTCTCTTTTATGCTCTCCATAGTCTCAAGCACTCGGGACACTCGGGTCTTCTGCAGATCTTCGTTTCCCACATATTCCTGGCGTTTGTAATTTTTCTTCTGTTCTGGAGAACAGGGTGTAACCTATGTACCTAGTGAATCTGAGCCTTTGTGACAAATCTTTGTGCTTATTGAATTTAGGAATAAGTTAAACCTTTAAAAACTATCCTAGAGGAGTTTATTAGGCTTTGGACTATATCTGAGAGAGGCATATTAATGCATAGATTAATGTACTTCATTTAATTAACAAAAATTGAGCTCCTCCTGTCTACCATTCCTCCCCCTTCCCCGATCCCTCATTCCTCTGGCCTTTTCCATATGCATGAAGATCATCAGCTGTAGTTCAGGTTTACAGCCGCCTCCCGTGGCCCTCACCTTGTTACCAAACCCTGTACATTCTACCCCTGAAAAGTCTTTGATCCTGCCACTCTCGGAGCCCAGGCCTCAGTGTGCGTGTGGCCGCTGGCCTGGTCTGGCCTTGTGTCCTAGTTCCCCACTGCTGGCTTTCCTCAGCCATGCTTCATTCAGAAAAGATTCGAACCTCTTCTGTGTGGCCAGGCTCTGTCCTGAGCCTGAACACACAGAAGTGAGAGAGTCAGCCAAAGACCCCTGGCCCCCAGGAGTTTCTATTCGAGTGGGGAGGTCAGGTAGTCAGCGAAGTAGCGAGTCAACTTAGAGAAGATTCAGTGTGACTGGTGTCTTGAGGGTAGTAAAGCAGGAAAGGGGAGTGAGGAGTGTGTACAGGGCAGTGTGATCCTAAATAGGATGGCTCAGAGGGACCTCATGAGTAGGTGACATCAGGAAAAGAAGTGAGCCACTGGAAACCTGGGAGATGGCTTCAAGGGGACAGGCTGGCACGGCTGAGGAGCACAGGGTGTCGGTGGGTGCTGTGGCAGGAGCCAGGAGCAGAGGGGTGTTGGGCCCCCCAAGCATGGTGAGGCCCTCATCTCTTACTTGGACAGAACAGAAGCTTCAGGAGATGGAGCAGTGACAGAATCTGCCTTCCATGTGACCAGGTCTCTGTTACGTTGGGAAGAGAGCACAGGGTGGGGCGAGGGAGGTTTAGGGGGCTGCTGTGACGGCCTAGGTGGTGGGGGTGGGATTAGCATGCTGGTGGTGAGATGTGGCCAAGACTCTGTATGCATTTCGAAGGCACAAAGACATTGTTAGCTCATAGGTTGCTTACGTGGGGTGTGCAAAGAAGGAATAAATGGTCCCAGTATTTTTGGCTTGGGTATCCTGCAGGATGGCGTTGACATGCACTGAAAGGGAGAAGGGCTTTCACCCCTGTGTCCCCCTTGCTAGTGTTCCAGAAGGGTTAAATGCAGGGAAGAATAGGCTTGAGGAGGAGGGAATCAGGAGCTCAGCGTGGACATGCTCTGTTTGGGATGTCTTGGACATACAAGTCAGGTTGTTGGATATTTGGGTCTGGAATTCAGCAGAGAGGCTCTACCTGGAGATATAAATGTGAGAGTCTAACATATATTTAAGTTCATAAATCATAAATAGGCTGCGATTCCCCAAAGATACACAAAGGACAGGCCCTTGAACTGCACACTGTACCATTTTTCTTCTAAGATTCACCTTTGTTAACCCAGGATCCTTCTCCCTTGCTTGAAGCCTAGCTTTCCAGGCACCCCTAGCGTCCTTCCCACACCTGCTGACGGGTGAGGACGGTCAGCGCAGTGCAGGTCCTCTGCAGCACCGATTTCTTCACTGGGGCAACCTTTTGTCTGTCCCCAATCTCTGTTGGGTTTTCTACCAGTAAGTTTTCTACTATTACTCCACTTTAAAGGTTGACAATTCTAAGCTAGTCTCTATTCTTTTTAACTGTCTCTTCCTCTCCTTCCCCCTTCTGTTAGAATTTTTTTCTTGTTTACTTACATGATTCTTTTTTCCCCAGTCCTCTATATTAGCACCTGCCGTCCTTTGTTTTCCGTTCCTGTGTCCCTGGTAGAAGCAAGCGGAAAGCAGGTTATCCATCTTTATATGCCCAGAATTTTGAATATCACCTACATATGACAATATAGTGATTATTGAATTGTATTTCTCAAGTTTTACACAAGTGGCTTCTGTTATGTTGCATCGTTATAATATTTTATGTTTTCTATTTTTTATATATTATATATATCTTATGCATAATTTCTTTTTCTCTAACTTTTCATCTCTCAAGCATTTAGTACTAAGGTCAGAAATGTATACATGAAGCAGGAAGGTCTCATGGACACACTAGAAGTTACTAACTCTACATAGCATGTGTCTTATTCAAAGTTTTAGATAGTAAAGTGGACACAGTTTTTCCCTGCAGAAATGCTAGCACCTGGAAACTGTGTGTGTGAGTGTATGAGTGTTAGATTAAAGGTGAAATCTTTGCAGAAAGCAATTTAAGAAGCTTCAGGGGATCCTCCTTCCTCTGTACAGCTCTGGGGTTTTAAATCTGGAAATTTGTATGTTCTCTCAGGATAACTAGTTTAATTTTAGGGACTGAACAATTCACGAACAAGATGGAATAAAGAACCTAGCACTGCCCCTCTAACCGAAACAGCCCTGGAGGACCCTGAAGAGAAGCTGGGCAGAGAGCCTTGTGGGACCCTGCTTTGCACAAAATGAAAGAACATGGTGATCACCAAGGGGAGAGGTCATGGCACAGACCCGCAGGGCCAGAGACTTCACGGGGGTGCTTGAGGTAGATCTGCTCCCCCAAACCAGGAAGCTGTGGCCTGCCCCAGGAACGCCTATTCCCACCCTTAATGAGAGGTGGGTCAGAGAAACAAGGCAGTGTGTGCCCAAAAGCCAGTGATGCTGGCATGCCAGTGCTGGGGACGCAGTCAGACCCGGGAGGCATGGTGGCCCGCTGCAGGGTACATACGGGTATTTGGCAGGGGTAGTTGCCCATTGTTTTGCAGGAACATGGGCCCACGATTCCCAGGTACTGTAACTGTTTGAGAGAAAGTGGATATCACAGTTTTCATGTGCAATAACCTGGCTTTTACATTTTGGCTAAAAACACATGTGTTTAAAAAATACAGGGTGAACAATTAATATAAATTCAACCTATTGACCATGTTTCCTGGCCACTAAAATCAACTGTTGGGACCATTTGTCTAGTTAAGTGTAAACTGCCCACGAGTCAGTGCGGGTCTTCCTGACCGGGGCCCCTGGGGTCCAGTTCCTGATGGACTCCTGCTTCCTAACCCCTGCTTGATCTTCCTCCTTGGTACATACACCTCGTGACCTGTATTAGGTGTCGATTTGCCTTATACCCGCCTCTCACTAATGTGTGAAGCTCCCGGAGAGTGGGCCCCTGCATTCTGCTGCATAGCTGTGTCCTCATAGCCAGCGTCCCACAACTACTTACTGAATGCGCAAGTGGTCCATCCAGCTTATGTCTCAAATACTTGAAAAACTTTTAATAGAAGGCCATTGTCACAGCAGGAGGAACAAGCATGAGCAGAGAAGCAGTGGTCACAGCAGACAGCAAGCGATTGTTCCGGCAGGGTCGGGAGTTCAGGACGCAGCAAATTTCCCCAGATAAGGGGAGGTGAGCATTTTCTCAGCACCTGCTGTATGCTGAGTGTTCTGTTTGTTTGCTTTCTCCGCCCAGAGGGAGTGGTAAGGAAACTACCCACATGGTTTCTTTTTCCACTCTTCACCCAGCACTGATTGAAAGGTTATACGATCCTGCAGAGACCCAGGGATGGCTGCCGGATGTGCAGTCAGAGCTCTGCAGATGGTAAGGAGGGTGTAGTGGTCTGAGTGACTTCAGAGGAGCAGTGTCCTGAGAGGGAAGTGCCAGGGGTCCCTGGGGTCCTTCCACTGGTCTTGCAGGGGACACTAGTTTGCTCTTAAACCAAAGGGCCAACTGTCTACAAAGTCGGATTCAACTTTCTGACCTCCGGTCACCTGCTACCCATCCCTCTCCGACTCCTCCGATATCCCTTGCCCGGTGCTGGGCTGGGTGCTTACCCCTGACCCCCATTCCCTCACCAAGCACTGTGAACAGCTCTTATGCCTTCTTAACGTGTTTCTTGGTTTTGTTCCTGCTGTCCCAGTCAAATGTCATCATCCGAAGGCTCCTTAGCTGGTCTGTTTCCTCATTCTAACCCATCTTCCATCCTGTTGGCAGTGACCTTCCACAAATGAGCATTGAATATGGCATTTTTATACATAGATGCCTTTGCTGGCTCCCCGTAGGCTCTGGCAGGAAGTCCAAACACTTCCTCCCTGCCAGCAGCTGCCCGTCGCCCAGCACCTCCTACCTCTGCCCTGTGGTTGGCTGCAGCCCACCGGCCTCTAGTACCCGCTGCCAGGCTGTCGTGTGTCATTGTACTGCCATCCCTGTCTCTCTGAGCCTCTCTCACCCTAGAAGCTTGTGCACAGACCAGGCCCATGACAGGTAAAGGTTTACAGGAAGATTTTTGCTTACTCTACTTCAGTGTATACTTCTTTCTCCATGACCCTGAAACCTGGCTAGTCTGCGTGGAGAGGGAATGGTAAGGGGTGTCCCCGCCCGACCCAGAGCCTGTCCTCACCTGCCCTGGCTGGTGACAGACTGCACAACTGGGCAGGCTTCTGGCCAGGTCATGTGATTGTTCCCTACTTGCTCCATCAGCAGTGTGGAGGCCTCCTGTGGAAATGAGATTTCTTCTCTACTTCTGCTTATTTATTTGGTTTTGTTTATTTATTTTTGCAGTTTGTATATAATCAAGTATGCCACTGACTTTACCAACTGGACACGGTCATTTAGAAAGTATTGCCAGTTTTGAAGGTACTAACAGCATTCCACGTGACTGTGAGATTTTTCCTGACGCAGCAGAGGATTTGTACCCAGCTGTTCTTCCCCCTCACGTAACTCTCTCTGTAACTCCCCCACAACTCTGACTGATTCCAGGGGCACCGGAGAGGTCCTATCAGCAGGCGCTTTCCAGAACCACTTGTGCTGGCTCAGCTGGAACCTGGAGGCCGAGGTGAGGCCAGTCCTGGCCCTTTGTGTCCCAGGCTTTTGCTTCCGTAGGTACTAGGAGAGGAGTGAGCCCTGGGGCTCATTTTCCTCGCCGCTGTGCGGTGGAGAGATGGCTACAATCTTCACCTTGCTGCTGCCGTCTGACTTTGCCACGCATGCATTCGGAATTTTTTTTTCTATGATCTTCCTTTGCTGTTTCTTTTTCAGAAATTTTTTTACTCTTCTCATTCGCTGTTTGCCCAAATCTAAACACAGTCTGGGCACACTGTAATGGCTTTAAGAGTCAAGAAGACTTTAGAAGCAGTAAGTGAGGTGGCTGCACTAATAAAGATTATTATGTTCATTCTTTTACATGGCACCTAAAAAGGTGGTTCAAAAAGTTAGCATATGTTTTTCAAGAAACTGGTCTTATCATTAAGCAAATAAAGAGTTGAAATGACTTTGTGCTATTTCTAATGTGCTTCCTATCATGACATAGCAGATACTAGCATTTGTCACTGTGAGCCAAATGGGAGATATTTCATTTGCAGTTGATATTTCACCCTTTTGTGTGAAATTAATCGTGCTCTCTGGCTTCCTTTGTTAACGTTTACCTGACATACTTAACCACATGTTCATTAAAAACTGAAAACTTGGTCTAGAGATCATATTCTGGAGTAGCTTCTTTTTAAATTTATAAGCTCAATCTCATTGCGTTTGGTTCAGGCACTTTTTAATTCCTCCAAGAATCAAGGAGATTAGAAATAGTAAGCACCATGGCTATATCTTTGATATGTTAAAAGTTAAAAATCTAAATCCTTAGGTCAGGAAATTAAGTAAAGCAGCTAAAGTTGTTACATTCATTGTAAAATTATTGCTAGTTAGTGTGGTGATATTAAATATAGCAGTGATTTACTCTGTCTCTGAAATACACAGTGACTTTCAGAGATCCAATCTGGGCAAATGTGTAACAGGCGACTGTTCTATGGAATTATGGAGAGTCACTTTATACACGGCCGAGTGATCACATACAGATGATGATTTCACATTCTTCTTACAGGAAGGTCACACTTTGAAATCATTTTCTTACAGAAAAAGGGTTATCTACTTAAAGAAAAATTCCACATTCTAAAAAACTGCAAAAAAAAAAAAAAGGATCCATAGTCAAGGTTCAAATAGCAAATAGTTCTTAAAGCATATAAATTACTTTTGAGATCTTATGCACAGCTACTTAAGAGCCTATTTATTTAGCATGTAAAAGGATTCCTGGTACTAAAATCAAAATCTGGTGTTTAGGAAGAAGATTAATTAAGCATATCAGGTTTGCTATTTAAAATCTTTTAAGGAGTGAAAAATACATATTTTCAGGGAACTTTATTAACCTCAGTGATTTGAGCTCTGTCACAAGTGTTAGTCAAATTTTCTTTCAGTGAAGAGTGGTGACTGAAAGTTTTCAAACTTCCTAGGCTCTGATGTCTAAGTGAATCAATTTGTGTACCCCACTTCCTGGTTCGCTCTTCTCACGCTGCCTGAAATGCATTTTCAGGAAAAGGAGGCTCTTTGAGAGACGTGAGATTGAAAAAGAAAAGAAGAAACTGAAAAATAGGGAATCATTCCCTGAAGAGAGAGCTTGGGGCTAGCCTACGTACATGGTTATTACCCTACACAAAAGTGTCCCTGGTGTACTCTTTGAATTATTCTACTTTACTCGCTTGTATGTCTTGAAATCCCAGCAAATGTAAATTCATGTACTTCATTAAGCATTGAAAGACATTCACTACCATTAGTTGTTTGGGAAATGCAAATGAAAGTTACTACATACCCATTAGAATGGCTGAAATTTAGAAGGTCGACGATGCAAGTGTTGACAAGGGTGAGGTGTAACCTGTACAGTTGGACAGGGCTGGTGAGAACCTGAAATGGTGCCTCCATTCTGGGGAACAGTCTCCTAGCTTTTGTGAAGTTAAACATGCACTTGCCCTGGATGTATCTCTGTACATGGTATGACAAAGTAAGTCTAATCTTCAGTACCTATCCAAGAGAAATAAAAACGTTTGTCCACACAGACTAGTGTACAAATACTTACGGTAGAATTATTCATAAAGTCCTAAAACTGAAAACAGCCCAGATATGTAACAATGGGTAAACAAACTGTAGCACAGTCATTCAAAAATAGGGTAGGCCGGCTTCCCAGATGAGAGGTTCCTGGGGCTGGCCTGTGTCTGTGGTGGTTGTTACTCTGCACAAAACTGTCTTGTGTGGCCATGTGAAGTTATCTTGGCTTCAGCCTCGACCCTCATGATTCGCCTCTAATGAGTTTCCTGGATTTGTGCTTTGTCTTTCGCTTGTACACTCATTAAGGTCCACAAGTGCAGGAGAGTATTCATGCTGTCAAGAAAGAGGTGTGATTATATTAAAAGTGAAAATGATAGTAAAAAACAAAATGGAAGTGGAGGGCGCGCCGTGAATGCAGCTGTCCCTGGTGTGAAGAGAAGAACAGGAGAGAACAGATGCACCTGACCGTTGGCATGGACAAGAAAATGGGTGGATGGAATGGCAAAAAACAGCAAAACCACTGTGAACCCATCCTCTAGGGGAGGATCCTTATCCTTAGACACTTGCTGCCCAAGGTTAATTTAGGAGAAGGGGGTTTGCTCTTGAACTTGAAAGCTAAGTGTGACTTAGTTGAATTGCTGCTCATGAAACTCGAACCACCCTGGCTGTTGGCATCATCAGCTCTGGGCCCCTTGGAGTTTGCAGAACATCAAAGTGGTGCCGAGGCGGCAGCTGCTACCGCGGCGTCTAAGAAATTCCTCACGGCACCGCCACGCTCAGGGAGCGAGCGGGACACCTGCCTGCACAGATTTCAGTGTGGCAGGAGCTGTTTAACGTGGAGGAAAGACTCCTGCTGTCTGCAGATTTGTAGATAGGATTCCAGGTTCTAGCAGTTTTCCTCTCCTGGCTTGTGGATTAAGTGCAAAGTGATTAAAAGTAGAACTGCCTTTCAGGTCCCGTCTGCTCCTGGGCTCAGCTGGCTGTGCTTCAGCTGTGCTTCAAGGACCGTCAGAGGAACCTCTGATCTGTTCCTCAGCAGATAGACAAGCATCTTCTGAGATCACAGGGTAGCACTCTCTCGGATATTTATATAGTTTTATTTAAAAAACTACAATTGCAAAGGCAAATGCTGACCTTACTGATAAAAGAAACACAGGGGTCAACAATGCAGCACAAATGGGAAAAAGGTGAGTGTTGGCCTGACCAGGGGTGCAGTCGTTAGTTGTAGTTGCTCACTTTTCGTTTTAAATCATTTGTTTTTAATGGTGAAAAGAAATAAAATTAGAACATGCATGAAAAGCTGGAAATGTATTTTTTAGTATCAACACCTAACAGGAGAATTCTAATTAAGGAGTTTGGAATGTTTTGTATCTTTCTGGAAATGAAACTCTTGGCCCCAAATCCCTGTGCCCCTCATAACAGCTAAGTCTATTGTGACTTTCAATAATTGTTTTTTTTTTATTAAAATAAGGGACTGTAGTATGAATTTTAGCAACTAAGTTAAATAGACATTAACAGGCCCTGGCATCCAACCGCAGTTTGTAACATCGTTCCTTCGGGAAAATAGATTGTAAGTGCCCAATAACTAACTTACAAATAGACTTTTGAATAATAGTCCACTTGAGAATAAGGAGCTGTTTGTGATAGTAATGCCTTCAAGTTGGCTTGCTTGAGAACTGCGCACAAGGGACCTACATACTGCCGCACGTGTGCCATGAGCCCAGCTAGTCTGGGTTTGATCAAAGATTACTGCCGAGTGGGCCTTGAAAGCGTAGGAAATAAAACCAGGGGAGGCTGGAGACAAGTCAAGGGTGGAGCTGGAAGCGCGGATCTGGAAAGGTTTTAGTGGTAGGAAAGGTTTTCAATTTCAAAGACAAAGGTGTGATCCTGAGCAGATAGAGGAAGGAGAAACAGGGTGATTCAGGTAAGGAGGAGGTTAGGAGGACATGGAAGGCAAGAGGCCAGGATACGAGAAGTAAGAAGGGTCAAGAACCAATCCTCATCAAGACAAATGTAAGGGAAGATGTACTGTAGAGGCTGAATAGCCCACAAAGAAGTCAGGCAAATAAGAGGCCTTTAAGACCTGCCAAGATCTCTTAAAGATATTACAGTATATGTTTAGAATCAAGACACATTGATTCACTTATGAAGTCAGTATATTTATTGCTCAAGTGCTGTGGGTCAGCATGATCAGAGACTGGCGAGGGAGTTTCTGCTCCTCAAATTGATAATCTAATATGACTCCCAGCAACCACACGAATGAGCCAGAGCAGCCTCGCGTGTGACGGTGATGCTCTCTGGGGTCTTCTCAGAAGGAGAATGTTAGGTTTGCTTGATTTCATTCTTTATTTTGTGTATTTGCTGCACCAGTTGTGTTGTAAGATTTTTGGGGGTAGACAGCATAGAACACGTATTCTTGGTATCTTTTTTTTTTTTTTTCCTATCACCTGGAATCTTAGTAGGTACTCCAGTAACTACATTTTGGTTGGTTGATTATATTAGTTTTGATTCATGGAACAGCTTAACTGAATCCATTTTGTGCACGAGAAAGCTATCTATTAATGTACTATTTACAGTGTATGAGAAAGTACCTGGTCAATGAAATATAAACACGATATCTTGTAACTCAGTCATGTTCGGTGCTCTCCCTGCAAGTGGAGGGCACGGCCACCACGTGCCTGTAGTTTGCAGCTGAACACAGCCAGTGCATTGCATTCACTCCCACAGGCATCCCCTGCTCCAGGAGGTCTCGACCTGCCTTCCCACCTCCTCTGTGCATTAGCGCCTTCTCTTCCGTGGCCCATACTAGCATGTATCTGTCAGTGCGGTCACTACATTATATTAGAAGGCTTGTTCCAGATAGTAAACACGGTTGCAGCTGTTGCTTGCGCGAAGGTGCCCTCATGTTGCTGTGATTGCAGACCACGTCTTTTCATCTCCATATCCATTATGCCAAGAACAGTACTACATCACCCGTGGGCTCAAGGGGTGGCCTTTTGTCTCAGTCAGCTCAGGCCGGAGAACAAATATACCATCGACGGGGTGGCCTAAACAACAGAATGTGTTCCTCCTGGTCTGGAGGCTGGAATGTCTAATAAGATCAGGGTGTTGGATGAGGGCCTGCTTCCTGGCTGGCAGATGCTGCCTTCATGCTGTGGCTGGGGGTGAGGAGATTTGGGGGAGGAGGGAGAAGGTGAAGCAGCTCTCCTGTCTCTTCTTATAAGGGCACTAATTTTGAGGGCTCCAACCTCCTGACCTAACCCCCTCCCAAAGGCCCCGCCCCCAGAAGCCATCACCCTGGGGGCCAGGGCTTCAGTGTATGAATTTGGGGCACATAGGCACTCAGGCCAAAGCTCTGTCCACAGCTCCACTTGAAAGTATTTCAGCTCAGTGTCACTCATGCTGCCTGGGCCACAGTGGGCAGGGGCTTGGCAAGAGGCCCCCAGGAAGAGGGGCATGCGTGCTGCTCTCTGCCCCTGCCAGTGGCTGACAAAACTCCAGTTCCCCTTTGGGTCCTTCCTCTGCATTTTTTTGGTGAGGAAGACTGGGAGATTGTGTCTGTCTCAGGAACCCACATCTCTGCCATTCGTATCTCCAGCTTGACGCCCTCCCCACTTGCGCCCCAGAGGCTCACACACTGGCAGGTGGTCCGCTGCCCAGACTTGAGGCCCCGCCACTCCTCCTCTGGCTGAGGAAGATGAGCCCTTGGCATTCTGTCTATTGTCGTACATTCTCCAGACACAGCCCTGGGTAGAGAACCTTCCCTTGGAATACTCCTCACCCTGCCCATCCCTCCTGTGTGCGGCCCCCTGAGGAAACCACAGACAAGGTCTCTGCATCTCAAGGACTTGATTTCCTCAGTCTTTTCCTCCATGGGTCCAGGGGGAGGCCAGTGGGAGTGGAGGCCAGTGGGCTGGACTCTCTAGACCAGATGGCATCGGCACACGGTCTGTGGACCGCATCTGCGTACCTTGCCTCATCCCTCTGGGGAAGTGTTTCCCAGGAGGGGTTTCTGCCCGCTGTGTATCAGCCCTGCACAGACACACCCTTCAGGTTTGCTCAGACCTGTCTGAGCTCCGCGGTCAACACACCCAGGCTGCCAAGCTGGGGTTTCCCCAAGCGGGTGGAATTCTCTTCTCTCTACCCAAATTCTAAAGGGCAGGCTGTTTGCACTGATATGATTAAACATAGATGTTTTCATAGATGTGTTGTTTGAGATTCAGAATTGCACAACCACTTAAGAATACAAAGTGTAGAGTTTCCTTTATTTTTTTCTTTTTCGTAAAAGTTCATTTAACTTTTTATTCTTACAGCAGCATTCTATCAATTATTCTTCTGTTACTACATTGACAAAGAAGGCGTTGCCAATCATGGCATTTATTCACTGCCTGAAGTTGCAGAATTCTGTATTTTCCCTGACAGAAGAAATTCTTAATGAATATATAGTAACAGGAGGAAGACTGGGTTTTATTAAGTGCTGATTATGTGCCAAGCAAGTTACACTGATCAGGTCTTTTTTTCATAACAGAGGTGCCATGCCCATAGGTAATTTTAGCTCTGTTGAGAAAATCGCTATTTAAAGAGGTTGATCATCTTGCCCAAGGTTGCAAAGGTAATAAATGGAGAGTTGGGACTAGACCCCAGGCCATCTAACCACAGAACAGGGCTTCAGACCACAGGCAGGTCTCTAATACATCTTTCTGATATTATCAAAAGTCACTTGTTGAGAATGAAAACAGAGCAGTAAGACAGTGGAATCTGTTTCTCACTGCGCGATGGTAGCTGATCCTCCATTTAACTAGGGGTAGCGGGGCCCCTGTTCATTCAGCATTTCTTTAAGACTGTAATTTACATTGTCATATGATAAATTACATGTAAATGCAATTTAACAGCCAAAGAACAGTTGTCCAGACAGAATCATTTCAGCAGACTTTCATGCTTCCTAGATTAACTTAAACCAGACTTTTTATTCTGAGCCAGAAATTGCATTCTTACATTTGAACCAGATATCCTATGCCTAGTCATAAATTCACTGGGAAGATTAGAGCATCATTTCTTTTTCTTCTTAAGAATGGTTCTATGCTTTAATTCCATCTGATAACGCATCACACACTTATTTAGGTTGGTAGTAATATTTTAAAGGTATTGGCAGTTTAATTTGATCATTTGGTGTAATGTGAAAAAATAATCAGTTTGTTTCTTATTCTGATGATTCATGGAGAGAAATGGTTTAATCTGAAGAAATCAGGAGGGAATAGAAATTAATCTTTTGTGTTATCTTTATATCCCCTAGTATCTTTTGGATGCTTTAAGAATTACCTTGTGCAAACTGAGAAATGCTTACCATTTAAATTCCAGCAGTATTATTTTTTCCCCAAAAATATGCATTTTTTTATATCGAGTTTCCTGTTCTAGGGGTACCAAAAAAATAACATGCATGTGATATAAAGGAGAGGAGAGAAAGACAGTCCTAAGAACCTTAACAATTAGAGTTCCAATGGAGAAGAATTTGGATGCTATAGGTTAGGTCAGCCTGTAGTTTGCAACCCAATAGATTATTGTAAATATCAAATATAAATATCACCACGGGGATGTTCTCACCCAGAAACCAGACCTAGAAGGCAGTTCAATGAAATTTTAATGTGTAAGTGTACCAAGATGAACTCTGTTTGTATGTTTTACATGAGAATGGGCATATTCTCATTTCAAGGAACTTTTGATTTCTGTTTTTTAAAAAAGTTTTAAAATTTTTCAAACAATTTTCGATATATTCAACACACAAAAACGTGCCCCTCCCCACCCCACTCTCATTTCAGGCAACAAGGGCAGCCATTACGCAGCACTGCACTGACCTTGGGAATTTGCTGGGCAAGGAAAACGACGTGGCCCTCATCATCGACGGCCACACCCTGAAGTACGCGCTGTCCTTTGAAGTTAGGAGAAGCTTCCTAGATCTGGCGCTCTCGTGTAAAGCGGTCATATGCTGCAGGTAGGCGCACATAGCTGGGTGTGACTCATATATGATGGGTCTGTAGCCTGTGTTCATATTAAAAAAAAAAGCATGTGAATTTGGGTGGTAAAGTTTCATAAAAACTAAACAAATACAAATGTAAGTGTCCATTCACAGATTTTTGCGGAGGGCAGGTAGTGGTTTTTACATTATTGTTTTGTTGATCATCTTCTGAGAAGACAGATAGTGACCACATTAGTTGGGGTGAGCGTTTAATAATGTAGATCACTGTCCAGTCATATACTGTATGCTGGAAACTGGTATAATGTTATAGATAAACCATACTTTAATAAAAATAAAAAAGTAAAAGTAGGAGCCAGAGCCTCCTGTCATATTCACACTGGGAGATAAACTGGGAAATCAGCAGGGTGCCGTATGCTTGGTTCCTTGGTTTTGGGGGCTTAGCTCAACTTCCAAGACTTATGGGATTTTGGTGCCTCTTTTCTGATGTCCAGCAGGTATTTCTTTTCAGTCAACAAGGAATGTTGGCCGGGTCCAGGCTATACCAACTTTTGAGTTAAGTTCCATCCAGTAGCCTTTGTAGGTGTTTCCTGGTAGCTGGGAGGGTTCTTGAGGGTGGGCATGGTTAGGTTCCACTGACTACACGAGGCCCAGCTCCGATGGAGATTTGGAAGTCGGACAGAATTATAAAGAAAATAAGATGCTAGAAAGATGGGTGGCAACCCTCCCACTTGTTCAGAAAAACCCTCAAAGGTGAGAGGAGAGCTTTCTGTGTCTGAAAGCTGTGCTGAGGCACGCCTGGCACGTAGTTGAATGGATAGCACATGTTACTGGGTTAATAATCTCATTTATGGTTGCTTTTGTACTTTATGTTTACACATCTTTTATATAGTGCTTTCTGTGATATTTTCTCAGAAGTCAGAGACGAAGAAGCTTTTAATTTCCTCGCTGTGTCAGTCCTTTAAGAATGCCTCTGTGGGGGCAGCCACAGTCTGTCGAATGAGCAGTCGTCACATTGACACGATGGCCTGGCCGTTTCTGCCTTATTAGGAGGCCCTTGTGACATCACCTGGCGTGCCTCCCAGGAAGGGTCTTGTTGTGCCTGTGCTCGTAGGATGTTCAAGGGTCATGGGCTGAGCGACAAACTCAAATGTGTTTGAAGTGATGACTGAGAGCTGCTTGTTTGTTACCTTTAAGTCAGGAAACTTGGTGCAGCTGTGAAGGACCTGGGAGAGTGAGAAATGGCCAGAGCATCTGGAAGTGAAAAGCCGGTTGTCTGCAACTTTGAGAGATAATTGACAGACCATACAGTCCACCCATATTAAGTGTATAGTTCAGTGGCTTTTAGCATTTTCACATAATTTTTTAACCCTCTCTACAGCCAGTTTTAGAGTTTTTCAGTCACCCCTGGAGAAACCCCCATATCCATTATCGGTCAGTCCCCATTCTCTCCACCCTCTGAACCATGCACTACTGTACAACCACTAATCTGCTTTCTGGTCCTTATAGATTTGCCTGTATGGGACATTTTATATGAATGCAGTCATATCAGATGTGGTCTTTTTCTGCCTGGCTTCTTTCACTTAACATCATGTTTTCAAGGTTCATCCAGGTTGAGAATGTATCAGTTCCTGATTCCTTTTTATTCCTGAATAATATTCCATTGTATGGATATACCACTTATTTATCCATTTTGATTTAGATTAATACTTGGATCATATATACTTTTTGACTATTAATAATGCCGCTATGAAGATCCATGTAAAGTTTTATGTAGACATTTGTTTTCATTTTTCTGTTTGGTATATGCTTAGAAGTGCTGGCTTAGAAGTGATAACTCCGTTTAACCTTTTGAAGAACTGTCACAATAGTTTTCAAAGTGGCTACACCTGTTTGTATTCCTACAAGCAACGCGTAAGTGTTCCAGTAACTTCACATCCATGCAAATATTTGTTATCTGTCTTTTCCATTGGTTAACCTAGTGGGTGTGTGCTGGTATCTCATTGTATTTTTGATTTGCATTTACCAGATAGCTAATGATGTTGACCATCTTTTCATGTGCTTATTAGCCATTTGTATAAAGGCTATGGAGAAATATCTATTTAGGTTCTTTGCACATTTTAAAATTGGATTATCTTTTTATTATTGTGTTGTAAGACTTCTTTGTATACTCTGGAAATAAGTGTCTTATCAGAAATGATGATTTGTAAATACTCTCATTCTGATTCTATTGGTTCTTTTATTTTCTTGAGGGTGTTGTTTGTAGAACAAAAGATTTTAATTTTAATGAAGTCCAGTTTATCTGTTTTTTCTTTTGTCCCCCATGTCTGGTGTCCTATAACAAGCTCCCTTTTCTGAGCTGCTGAGACTGCGCTTTCTCTCCCGGGTTCCATCTGGGTGGTTTAGACTAGGGACACGCAAAAGGCAAGAAGGTGCAAAGAGTGGTACTTGCTTCTCGTAATTTCCCCTTTGTGTTGTAACATTGCCGAGTAGGTGGTACCTGATTTCTGGGAAGTCCTCAGCCCTCGAGCTTGTTTCTGTCCCCCCCCCACCCAGCCAGAAGTCACGGTGAGAAGTCCTTGTGCCTGCCAGCTGCCCCTGGGTCAAGGAGCCGTCCCCCCCGACTTGTTGGTGAACAGAAATAAGCAACAGCACCAGAAATAACAGGAAACAATGGGAACATCTGGTAAACTGTAAATCAACGCGGAAGTGCTCTAACCTCATGGCTTCTCAAAGGGAAGTCCAAACGAGGCCATTTGGGTTCTCAGGGGAGTCAGAAACGCCTTCAAGCCTTTGTAAGAACGTTCTCTTTCCTTGCCAGGTGCTTGATACTAAAGAAAAACACCTCTCTCCCCTTCTTCCTCCAACTGCTTTCAGAGCACTTTGTGCGTCTCACAAGGCTGTACACGGAAAGACTTCACAGGAGGAGTTCAAACTGGAATTGGCACAGAAAGAGAAAATTTCAAAATAACTACTGTTACTGTCTACAAACTAGAAACACTGATTGAAAAAGGAACCTAGGATAGTGTCCCACTTTACTGCTCTAGGAAGCATTTCTTGGCTGGTCTCAGACTTCAGATTTTAAAAAAGTCAATACATACTGAAAAAAAAAGCACTCATATACTTTAGATGTTCTTACTATTCATTGAGAATTTAAACAAGTTAAATGTATTATGTGACTTCAAATAAAAAGTTAACCTGAATTCTCACTTTTCATCTTTAAAAGGTAATCGTAAAAGTTACCCTTTTCTCTAAAAATAGAAGAAAAAAAATTTTTTTTCCAGAAAATAACTTCTCAGGGAAACTATAAAGTGGTGTCCCCCATCAATATTGATTCAGAGACCAGTGAATATTGTGTAAAAATGGATACCTTTCAACTAAGCACCATTTTAGGCAGAAAAAGGAGGGGGAAATGGAAGAATCTATTAAAATATTTTGCTGAGATCAGAGTCAAACAATTTTTTTTAATTATACACTTGTTACACCCAAATATTTTCCTAGCTAAAAATCCTGGAAAGGTCGTGGGACAGTCAGCAGAGCCGTTAGCAGTCAGTGCACGGCTGCAGTTTGCTGTCGTATCTGCCAGGGCCATGGCCGTGCTATTTTTAAGGTGATCTGATTACTCCAGTGAAACTTTTATCGTGGGCTGGATATTTGCCTGTGTCTTCCTAGGAGTCATGGAAGGAAAGAGACACAACATGGCCTCTGCCTTTTAAATGCAAATAACTAACAAGAGTCTATCACAGTGCTTGACTCCCCCTGCTTCTTTGCATCCGTCTCACGTACACCCCAGGTCCTTGAAATCAGTCCTGCAGTGAAGCTAGTGCACCTCACATCCCCAGTGACCCCCATCTTGCCATATGCAACAGACTTTAAATTCCTTTCTGGATTCCTCCTCAACATTCCTATCAATGGCTCCCCGCCCAACCTTGGATTCTCCTGTTTCTCTGGCATTTGCCTCCTCTCCCCAGTTACATGTCTCCCTCACGGGCTCTTTTGCAGCAGCCTTTGAAGTGCTGCATTTCCAAGGTTTTGCCTTCAACTCTATCCCATTTCTGCTCCATATCTTCTCACTAGTGCATTCTATGGCCTCACACCTTCTAATTAGTGATTCTCAACACCAGCTTCGCACTGAATCAGCTGGAGAACTTAAACGGTTTTTTTTCCTCAAAATGGAAGCATAGAATTACCATGGGACCCGGCAATGCCACTGCTAGGTGTACACTCCAAAGAATTAAAAACAAGTAATCAATCAAATACTTGTATGTACATCTTCATAGAAGCGCTATTCACAATAGCCGAAGTTAATCTTGCAGGAGATGGAATCCACCTAGTTGTGCAATGATGGATGAATGGATAAACAAAATGCAGTCTATCCATATGATGGAATATTATTTAGACATAGAAAGGAATGAAGTACTGATACGTACTACGATATATGGACCTTGAGAGCATATGTGGTAAAAGAAGCCAGACCCCAAAGACCACCTGTTATAGGGTTGCATTCATATGAAATATTCAGAATAAGCAAATCCAAATAGACAGAAAGCAGATTAGTAGTTTCCAGGGGCGTCGGAGAGAGGAGTCGGAAGTGACTTTAAAGGGCTTGGGATTCCCTTTGGGAGTGATGAAATGTTTTGGGACTAGATAGAGGTGATGGTCGTACCATACTGTGAATATCCTAAATGCTACTCAATTGTTACAGTTTCAAATGGCTAATTTTATGTTATATGAACTTTATCTTCAAAGTAATATAAATAAATGAATAAAAGAGTTTTGTTGAATGGTAAAAATGAAACGTTGAATGAAAGTTTCATTCATGTGAATAAAATCTTTGTTGAAAAATAAACAAAAAGGCTTCTGATTATCAGGTCCGACCCCAGAACAATTCCATCAGAACTGCAGGACTTTTACAGGCTCCTGTTGAGTCTGATGAGTCATCAGGGTTGAGAATAAATGACTTCCCTGGTCTGCATGTCCTGATGACCCCCTTCCTGAGCTCCAGACCGGCAGCTCTG